AGTTATGACTAAAACCTAATAACAATTATAAAAGATTTCATTTTTTCCTCTGCTTTGAAAGTGTTTTTTATGATTTCTAGTCAATTCTAGAATCATAACAAAAATTATTTTCAAAGTATTGATTATATCCATGTTTATGAAGAGGCATTTAATTGTCAGTTTCCATTATGCAGACTCTGATTTATGGCAGGTGAAGATACAGTTGTTTCTGCTTAATAATTAAAATCTCACTCCCCTTGGTGATTGTTTCAAAGTTGGTATGTTTTATGTTCCTGGTGATAAAACTGATAAGAAGTACAATAACGTGAAGTAGGGTCCCAGATCCAAATCCCATTTGAGCATATTTAGTAATATATAAGTTGCATACTACTCTAGATAACAAGATGTTCATCCAACTCCTATCCTGAAAAATATAGATGTGTTCACAATTCTGAGCATTTGCTGTTATTTTAGCTTATAAATCCCTCTAGAAAGCTGTTCACTTAAGTTTGTGGAAATCCTTGCCCTGTAGACACGTCATAAATTCTGTAAGAGGAATGTGGCATTGGTTCAGAATGTTCATCAGTGAGTTCTCAAAGTTCTACTTCTACAATCTTACGTTCCAATGCTTTCTGACCCAAGATTTTCTACCAATCTGCATCCCACTCATATTCAATTTGTTCTAGGCTATGATAAATACATAAGAACTAATTTGATTTAAAAATAGAAGCAGACAAAAGTCCTTCAATGCCATTAAATCTATTCCGGCTTATAGTGACCTGGTGTCCCAGTAGATTAAAATGAAATTCCATGTACTATTCTATATACTACTGTTATTTATAAAAGTATGTATACTATCATGAAGGAGCCCTAGTGGGGTTGTGGTTATATGTTGGGCTGTGAACGTCAAGGTAGGCAGTTTGAAACCACCAGGTGCGCCGCCGCGGGAGAAAGATGAGGCTTTCTACTACTGTGAAGAGTTAAAGTCTCAGAACCCTATCAGGGTAGTTAAACTCTGTGCTCTAAGGTGACTATGAGTCTGAATGTGGTTGGGTAAGATGGATATAATTGTTGCACTAACATGATGTTCTAAGCAAGGTTTTCACCTATAAAGGTATGAAACTGCACAAAGGTTTTCTTCTTTGTTTTTGTTTCTGAAATCTCTGTTGGGAGTACGTACTCACAAACTAAATATAATTCAGATAAGATGCAACATTTTATATGGGAGAAAGATCTAGTAGTGTGTTACCATAAAAGATTACAGCCTAGAAAACCCCGCGGGGCAGCTCTACTCTGTCCTGCAGGCTTGCTATAAGTTAGAATGGGCTAAATGGCAATGGGGTTAGTTTTTCTGGTTTGCGTAGGGTCAGATTTCACACATTTATTTATTATTTTTGTTAATTCTAATAAAGTATGTTAATGATAGATGAGCTTAAACTAAAACTTTGTTTCAGACTTAGAGATAAGATTAATTTTGAATACTTAATGAGAGCTACTAATAAAAATAATTGAACCAAATACAGAGGACTAGAGGAAAAAATTATCACTTACTAGAAATGTTTTAAACAATATAGCTATAAATAACCCATATTTTTATTTAGTCAATGATAAGCACTAAACTAATGATAAGCAAAAGTCCATTGCTATAGAGTTGATTCCTACGCATAGCAACTCTATGCAGAGAAAATACTTAAGAAAGTCATAATGTTGCCCATATTTACATCTGCAATTAACTTTTGAGCATAGCAATAATGGTAAATAAAAATGTAATTTATAACAAATATCTTAAATGAGACAATGTGCTTTAAATGCTTTAAACTATAAATTACATCTTGCTCTCAATTTTATTAATATTATCATCTTCTCAATCTTCTAAGTTAGAAACATTCAAATTATTCTTTAACTCTTTTTTTCACACTCTTTTCCCAACACCCCAATCCCTTATAGATATTCATCAAGTCTCACCGAATCTATTTCAACTTATGATCATGCAATTAATCCTCTTTGCTTTAATCTTAATGATTCAACTTTAGTTCAGGTCCTCATATCTGCTGTGAGAATATGCTATTCAATTAGTCTTTTTATCTGTCTCCTTAACTTCTGTTCAAACTCCACTCAACTATTATAATACTTTTCTTCTTAAATCAATCATATTACTACATACTTATATAAGAACATTCACAAGCTCTTTGATACTTACAGAATAAAACAAGAGTTCCTCAAAGTCCAGTTACAAAATGGTTTTCAAATTTTAGTGTGTAGTTTCATAACACAGCTTATTTACCTGCATCACCTGGCTCTTTAACAATTCCAGTGTTGGACATAGATAGTTCATTTGCCTAAAATGTAATAACAGGCCTTACTTAAAGTCTTCTGAAATGATGCCCAATTTGATGATTATATGATTAAAATTATCTTCATTCATTTCATTCCTTTATGCCTGCAATTTTCTGTAAAATTCCCTTTTACTTCCCGCTAAGCAATTTTTCCTCTGTTTCACAGCATTGTAAACATCTGTTGTAATATGTATAAAATTATGTAATAGTTTCTCTTTTTTACCATTTTATTGGGGACTCTTACAGTTCTTATACCAATCCATACATTAATTATATCAAGCATATTTGTGCATCTGCTAACTTCATCAGTTTCTAAACATTTACTTTCTGTTTGAGCCCTTGGTATCAGCTAATAGTTTCTTATATATATAGACTGTTTCCTTTACTAAATTATTAACTCCTTGAGATTCAGAATACTTATGGTTCACTTTTGTATTTCCAATATTTTCCATTGGACATCCCACAGAGTAGACAATAATACAGTTTTTAATCGTTGGCTTGATATTAGTTGGGCAATTTAGCAAATAAATGCTATAGAAATTTCAGACAAGGATGAAATTAGTTCCTAAACAGAGTAGGCTAAAAACACTTCACAGAAGAGGGAGTTCAAGTGGATCTCTTAAAAAGGGCAGAAAAGCTGTACTTTCCTCTTTCAGAGATGAAGAAAATGAAGAGCTAGCTGTAGCATTTGACAGAAAGAGAGAAATAAAAATGAACTCAGCACAGTCATTGCTCCAGGAAAAAAAATAGTCTCTAAAGATAAACAATGGAGGGGGGGGGGAGATAACAGAATGAAACACTACCTGGTCCTACTCCATCTTCACAAATGTTCTTATGTTTGAATACATTGTTGCAGCCATCATATCAATCCATCTTGTGAAGGGCCTATCTCCTTTTTTGCCG